TGATAGTAATGCATTGCTATTAATAGCGCCTCATATGTCTGAGGAGACTTTGAAAAAACAATACATTACACGATAGCTCAAGAAGTATGGTTAGAACTTCAGAAACTTTTTGACAGGTCCGAAGAAGATCAAGTCTACGATTATAGATTGCACTTTATTAATTTTTGAAAATTAGATAGTAAAGATATTGGGACTCACATACCTAAATTAAAGAATATTCTCTATCTTCCATTTTTAAGGAACTCAAACGTATAACAACTATATCTGTGAAATACCAGAATTATTATTACTCTGTAAAATATAAGGTACTCTTTCTCCTCGATGTTTAACAGTTAGATTCGGTTGGCTGTTAATGAATAAGACAGAGCGGAGTATCGAAAAGTTAACGACTCAGTTTTATGCTTTCGAAATAACTTTATCTAGCTTAAATGACGTAAATGAGCAAAAAGCATTTCTCTCGTCACTTAAACTAAATGTAAGGTAAGAAGCCTGGAAGGAATCTGGAGTAAGTAAAGATCAAAGACTGAAGTTGATTTCCTGTCACTATTGTGGGGAAACTAGACATATTGTACGGAGATGTCGTAAGCGGTTGACTGATAGGAAACTTCCCAAAGGCTTTAAAGACAGTTGAAACAAAGTTAAAACCCTTACCAATGGCTCTGTTGATAAATACAGGCCAAGGCGTGTGTGTAAATGCTATTCTCAACGAAAATAAGGAACAATTATGACCCTTATAAGTATGATTGTCAGTGAAAAGTAATCACTAATTCAGTTTGTTGTATCTACGGCTTATAGTGAACTGGTAAAAGAAATTTACACGGCACAACCAGAGGGATATAATGACAGATCAGGCAGAGTATGCAGGCTAGTGTTGCCCAAAATCGGTCTTGATCTTGCACTTTGCAAGACCAAGACCAAGGCCGCCTAACTGTTGTAAGACCGAAACCAGGACTGATAAAAAAATCGATTTTTTAAATAAAAATTAAGGCAAAATAGTTACTAATACTCGACAACCTTAGTTACTGTATGTTAATAATTGGTATAACCGATATCCTTTTGCATTCAACTCCTCTAATTTTTCATTCAGGTTTCTCCTATATAAAAAATGACCGTAGTATCTCTGTAGTAATAAGCTAATAAGTAACTGCAAGACTCTTGCGCAAGACCAAGACTGAGTTTGCAAGACCAAGTCTCGTCTCGGTCTCGCATTTGGGCAACACTATTGGAAGCTAAGGAAGAGTCTCTATGGTCAGGAGCAAGCCCCGCGCTTCTGGAACTAGAGGATTTGCTCATAACTGCTCAAGTTTGGCTTCATGAAGAGTGATGCGAAATCGTGATAGTAGAAGATATTGATTGCGTTATATGTCTATGGTGGGTTAGTAGTTGCAACAAATGATGATAATGAAAATATTGGATCATTTTGGAAGGTGAAGCTGCTACGATTGTAACACTAATAACCAAGAACCTAATGAAGCCAGAGAAAGATGAGCCTCTTGACAAGATAACGTTCCCATATATACATGCTATAGGTGCTTTGATGTATCTGATGACAGGCTCGAGGCCTGACATCGCTTATGCTGTAGGAGTAGCGTGAAGAACCCTAAAGAATTCTGGAATTGATGATTATGTAAAGGCCTTCATTTGAAAATTCTACACATCAGAACTAAATTTAAATAACTTTAAATAAATTAGAAATAATTATTCACTTGATTTGAAATAAAAATCACGCAACTTTCAATTACCACCCACTTATTAGCAGAATTATAAACAGAAATAAGTATTTTGACAAAAAGGGGAAGTGGAAGTAAAAATTATAAAAGCTATATTTATTTATATTTCATTGTGGGTATTTTTATTTGTATAAGTACCCTTATATATACAAATGTTGATATTTATATCGCTGTAATCTATACAATTAAATATTAACTAATACCAACAGTATCATTTATGAAAACCGTATATTTATATTTACGTAATATTGTAGGAGTCCTTATTATATTAAGCATTCTGCACTTCTTTCTCTCACCTAAAAAGTTGAATTTATTTCTTAAGCAGTTTTATGTGTATATATCTTATGTTTTATATTTTATATTTTGTCTTAAGCTCCGTTACGATCTCTTATTTCTCCTTTACTTAATTATAAAATTATTTCATATTTTACATTTAACTATCTTTTATATTAGAGAGTAATGTGAAATGGTCAATTGTTTTAAATAAAAAAAAAAATAAAAGTCACTTTAGGGGAAGCCAACATTGAAAATTAGAAATTTAAGCCCTGTTTGAGAACATCAATTAAAATAAAACCTACATTTTGTTCAAAACTGCTTAATTTTACACTGATATAATGAATGTAATCAAAATCGTTAGAGTCGTTTTCAAGAATGTCGCAAAAATGTTTCTAGTCCATCATATAAAGTGCCACTTTCGGTTAGCCGACTTAGACGAAAAAGTTGCTGTAACATCCCAAGCGTATAAAAACCTTAAATATGCAATTTCACTTTCGTACAATTTTCTGTTTTTTGAGCTAGACTGTTAACACACATAACATTTTGAGGAACTTGGTTATTTCGACTCAGAAAACCTCAAAACATGTATTTCAGTACGAAACTCAAGTTCAAACATTTTCACAATTGCAATACTTTTCCTTACTATGCATTTTATATATAGGTAAGTGAAAGTAAAAAAAATCGAATTAGTTTTTACGGAAAATTAAAAATAAATTCGATTTCTTTACTTTTTGTTTTTGCAATAATATGAACATTTCTAATTGATGAGGGATCGACCCTGAAAGTAGTTAAAAGTCTACGCTATTAGCCGGAGAGATACAACCTTTAACGCAAAAATTTGCCTGGAAAATATTTACCTTACTTTTGTGTTTACTTAGAATATCTTAAACACGAAGGGGAAGAGAGGCACGGAGGATTAACAGACCGATTTTCTGCTAAAAGTAAAAAAAAAAAAAAACAACACAATAGTGACGAAATAAACCGAAATAAATTTGCCTGATAAACCGAAGATTACAAGTCCAAATCCTGATTCCGGTAAGGCTTGTGATTCCCCGCTCTTCACCCTGGTCCGGCAAAACCCGTATAGTTGAAAAGCTGAAGAAGTGGAGATGGACAAAAAAATCACTATTACAAATCCTATTGCAATGTTATCTTCCCAACATGTTCCCAAATTATATTAACCCAGAAACTTAATCATTTGCAAATATAACTGCTTCTACTTATGTTAGTAAGGGTCTAAACAGAACAGAAAAGCGCAGTTTGGCTTTTATCGTAACTCTTAAATGTGGTAGTAGATCTGTTGCTAGTTTGGAAAAAAAAATCGGCAAAACTCAAAAATTAATTATAAATGCATTAAACATTAATTGATTGTGATTTATCTTTCTTAGTATTTCAATGAGCGTTGGCTTGTATACATAATAAATTGAAATGATTAATTTTTAAAAATCGGTGCTACGCTTAAATGTTTCCAACAGTTATAGATTAGACAGAGGGGTAGAGGAGGCTAAGGAATTAGCTGAGCTGGGCAAGACCACTTCAATCCTCTCCATCGCTTTTTAATAGGCCACTAGTAAGCCTTCCCACTCCAGCCTTATGTAGACAAAGTTGAGTGTCTCCAGCTTTATACCTCATTATATTAGCATCCTTAATCGTAGCTATCCTCTTATCGTCATTTTGAAAAAATAATCTCTTAAAACAAGATTTGGAACTAACTGACGCTAATTTATTTATCCCCTCCCCATTCCAAAAAAAAACTTTCGATACTGTACAGTAATTAAACAAGCATACCATATTATTATAGAAACACGGCATTTTAATTATAATTTTCATCACAAATTACAAGGACATCTCGATATATTGATAAAAGATATAAATTCAAACGAGGAAACAAAGAAGAATTCTTTTTCCCTATCTTTGTTACAAGAATGCATTAAGGTTAGGCATATCATAGAAAATATAAACATTATATTTACTCACAGACACACTCAAACCAAACACCTGGCAGATAAAACTTGAAAAGCCAAGGTGGTTTGAATTTGATTGGCGCCAATTTATGGAAAACAAGAATATAGCTCTATCCAAAAAGTTGCAAATATTTAATTCCGTTAGTAGGGCAGTGATGTGCCACGGAGCACAAATCTGGGGTGGACAATCTCATGACCTTCGCACCTATTTCATAAAAGTATTTACGTTTTTACATATGTCTATCAAGAAACCAAAGAAAATTGAATTACATTTATTTTCCTGAAAATTGATTAAAGAAAAGTTTTGAGTACGATTTATTTGATAAATTAAAGCAACGTAAACCGGCTTAAGGAAGATCAGTATAAAAATTCCAATACCCTATGATATTGCTGATATAAAACTTTTTGTCATAGCCTAACTTTGTGGAACAATAATTTCTGTTAAAATAGCAGAAATAGTGAAACTTGTGTGATGCGGGCAACAGATTTTCTTACTTTCACTTAGTTATCTTTTTTCTCTCATTCAACCCTTTCTGACACCAGGATATGAACCCGTAATGTTACATTGTCTTCAAGGAATATATAAGCCCTTATACTTTCAATTTTTTTATTTTAGTTCTAACGACGTTTCGAGCTAATTAGCTCATTATCAAGTCATCAAAAACATTTTTTTATCTACTAAAATGTAGTTCAATGTTATAATTTCATTGAAAAATTATTTGTAGTAGACCAAATGTCAAAGATAACTATATTCCTCGTCTCCATACTCCTTAAATGTTTGCGCATTTATTGATGCCTGTCCCTCCGGTACGGTACTACCTCCTCCGACTACTTTTTAATACTGAAATAGTGAATAAAAAGTGAAGTTGAAGGGATAGACTCTGACCGCCAGCATTTCAGGACAATATTCGAATAGTGGGGTATTAGAGACAAATATGGATAGCACCACAAGTCTTGGAAATATGTAAGAGGAAGTACTTTTATCTTATTTTCCAATAACCGGTGTAGATAACCAATAAGTTGTGTGTAGATGGGTTCAATAAGTAATCTTTTTCATTGTTTGTGGACTGATATTATGCAAAAGGATTCCAAAATGGAATGAATATATCGACTGCCCGAAAAAGCATTTTTCGATTCAATAAGTACTAAATACTCGTTTACCCTACATTATATATAAGCATGACATATCTATCAACTCCGAAACATTCACCGCCACATACGCTGATGATACAACCATTTTAACAAAACACCATAGCCTCAGACTAGCCTCAATAAATTTACAAAATCATTTACTGACTTTACAAAATTGGTACTCACCTTAGAAAATAAGATTAAATCATGACAAGTCACAGCATATAACATTTACACTTCGACGAAAAACGTGCCCACCAGTTTATATAGGAGAGCACCAAATTCCTCAGACAAACACAGTACGTTACCTGGCACTAATATTGGACAGAAGGATGACCTGGGGTCCACACGTCAAAATGAAAGGACAGACCTTAAACAAGCGACTGAAAATACTGTACTCACTCTTTTCAATCGAAATTGAAAGTTCGACAAAAACTAAATACATACACTTACCTACTCAAACCCATCTGGACATACGCCTCTCAGATTTACGGTTCGGCAAAAAAGAAGCACTTAAAAAAAGTAAAGTCATTTCAATACAAAATTTTACGACTTATAACAGGAGCTCCCTGGTACGTCAACAACAAAACTCTACATAACGACTTACAACAACCAACTATAGACCAACACATACGTACTCTCTACTGTCGTTTTCATCTCAAACTATACGGACACACAAACAGAGTTATAACCGACATGGCTACGACTGACATGCCCATCAAGAGGAGATTAAAAAGGAGCTGGATGAGAGATCTTCTCACCTAAATCAAAGAAGTAAACAATGACCAGGAAGAGGTGCTGCTGGGTACTATCCTTCCTCATGCCTATAATGCCTATCCTCATCATCACAACACATCTGCTGATTGTCAACACCATGACAGGTGCGGATAAATAGTTAGAGATAAAAAAGAAAGTACGAAAGAGTTATAGCCTAATTTTTATCTCATTCAAATAGGTTATAAAATCACAACAATAATAATAATAATAAAACCAATAATATATAATTTGCTAAAATAGATGTTCATTTTAATTAATCAAAAAAGGTAAATTGTAGTGCTAAAATACTTAACTCCATCCTCGATGTATTTTTTTTTATAAATTAAAGTATTGAAAACAATATTTCATTATTAGCTAAACTAAACGTTGCTGTGAAGAGAACGCCATGAAGTAGGTTGTATGAATGAGAGGAAGGAGAAGCTAGATATGAATGTATCAAAAAGTTTTAAATAGTAATTATAGTAAACATCTGTGAATAAAGTCATACTGCATTTACAAAAGGAATGGTAACGTAGAGGCCTAAAGCATCTCCAAGCCAAAACTTGGTGAGTTGATTAACGAGGTTAATTTCTATTAATTAATTTATTGGGTATTATAGCAATCTTTCACTTGGACATTAAATATAGTGAGGTAGGATAACATTCACCCTGACGAGCTTAATATGATAAAATAATTACGAGTACACTGCCCGGTGTCGGGGAGGCTTCTAGCTCAGGAAATAATTCCTGCTCTCTGCCTTGGTCCGGAAAAAATACCCATATAGCCTAAAGGGGGAGAATAGGAGAACAAAAAATAAATATGAAAGGAATGAACACTAATATTGTTAATATTATAATATGTGAGGCCCACATATAATCAAGGAACGAAAAACGATAAATCAAAGATTAAGAATTCTGAGTTCACTTCTTTCGAAAAATTCAAAACTAAAACTAGACAGAAATTGAACACATACAATTACTTACTATAACCTATTTGGACTTACGCATCACAGATATTTGGAACTGCTAAAAAGACTCTCTTAAACAAACTTCAAATCTTTCAAGCAAAAACATTCAGAACAATTACAAAAGCACCTTGATACGTTAGCAACATAACCTTACATACTGACCTCCTTATGCCGACTGTTAACGAACACATACGAACTCCTTACAAACGATTCCATGACAACTTGCAAGGACATCCTAATACACTTATAAATGGCATGGCCACTAGGAATATACCAGGTAACGTCTGTAGGAGACTGAAGAGGAGCTGGATGAGGGACCTCCTCGCCTAAAGTAGATATCATGCCGAGTGAGGTGCCGCTGGGCACTGATACTCATAATGCCTTTCATGACATTATTTTGTTCCAACGACCTCACATTCACTGGTTGTCATTACCACTATGACAGGTGTAAATAAAAAAAAAAATATTATAATCTCTTCGTGTTTTATTTTACCTATGTCATTATTGAATCACCATACAATATTATGAAAAAAACATAGTGTAGATTAATTATATCTATTATATACTACAGTGACCAACATTCTGTAATTCATTCATTTATTTAATATCTAGGCAATCAATGATTATCAATCTATTATTTACGTCAAACACGACAGATAACTTACTGACATCGTCTTTATATGTGTTTCGTTAAAGATTAATTTTGTTGCCTTTTTTTTATTTTATAAATTAAACCATTTATTCATTACTCAATAAAATTATGTAAATTCCAATGACATTTTGCAGATTCTAAGCGCGCAAGGAGTGGCTCGTTGCGGAGGTTCAGTGTTCCTCCGCGACGGGAGTCCGGCAGCGAGGCGAGGACGATGGACGCCGCCATCCGGAGGCCTTCGCTGGCCGCCCTCGCAGACAGGGGTACCTGGGGCTCGCCCTGGGAGTTCCTCTTGTCCTGTGTTGGACTATCTGTCGGCATCGGCAACGTCTGGAGGTTCCCCTACCTAGCCTACCAGAATGGAGGAGGTAAGCTCAATAACATCATACAGAAATATTTAAGCTAATCTATAGTTATCTGCAAAGAAATTTTATAAGGTAGATTTTTAATAAAAATTTAGCTTATTATATTATCTTAAGACTTAAACATTTTTTTTTTTTTTTTTTTTGTCTTTACATCTTCATCCGCACCTGTCATGGTAGTGACAATTAGCAGATTTGCTGTTTAAATTGAAAATGACATGATAGGCATGACGAAGAATGGAGCCCAGCAGCACCTCTTCCCTGGCCTGTTTACATCCTAAAATCAGGAAAGGAGATCTCTCATCCAGCTCCTTTTCAGTCGCCTCCTGATGAGCATTTCAGCCGTGGCCATGTCTTTGATAAGTCCATTGTGATGTCCGTGTAGTTTTAGATGAAATCGGGAGTAAAGAGTACGTATGTGCTGGTCAATGGTTGGTTGTCTTAGGTCGGTATGTAAAGTCTTATTGTTGACGTACCAGGGAGCTGCAGTTATTAGTCTTAAAATTTTAGATTGAAAGGATTGTAGTTTTTGTAAGTGAGTCTTTTTTGCTGAACCGTAAATCTGTGAGGCGTATGTCCAAATGGGTTTGAGCAGGTAAGTGTATGTATTTAGTTTTTGTCTAATTTTCAATTTTGATTTAGAAAACAGTGAGTACAGTATTTTCAGTCGCTTGTTCAAACTCTTTCTTTTCATTTTGACGTGTGGGCCCCAGGTCATCCTTCTGTCAAATATTAGTCCGAGGTAGCGTATACTGTCCGTCTGGGGAATTGGATTGTTGCTGATATAAACTGGTGGGCATGTTTCTCGTCGAAGCGTAAATGTTATGTGTTGTGATTTGTTATGATTTAATCTAATTTCCCAGAGTGAATACCAATTTTGTAAATCTAGTAAATGATTTTGTAAATTTAATGAGGCTAGTCTGGGGTCATGGTGTTTTGTTAAAATTGTTGTATCGTCAGCGTAAGTAGCAGTCAATGTTTCAGAGTTGGTAGGCATGTCATGAGTATAGACAATGTAGAGTAAAGGTGCCAATATTGATCCTTGAGGTACCCCTGCTGATACTGGTCGAATTGAGGAAATTTCTAAACCCTGTCGGACAGAGAAGAATCTGTCGAAAAGGAAAGATTGGAGAATGAGATAATATGTATTAGGCAGTATAGTTTTGAGTTTGAAGAGAAGTCCCTGGTGCCAGACTTTGTCAAATGCCTGGGCAACATCCAGAAATACGCCGGTAGCATATTGTTTTTGCTCTAGCGCTCCAGCAATTTAGTCAGTAACTCTGTGTAATTGGTGTGTAGTTGAATGAAATGTACGAAAACCGAATTGATGGTCAGGTATTATTTGTTGGTCTGTCAGTATGTCAACCAGTCTTTTGTATATTAATTTTTCGAAAACTTTGGAGCATATCGGAAGGAGACTGATAGGTCGGTAGGATGAGGGATTGAAAATGTCTTTGTCCCTTTTGTGTATCATCTTGATATGTGAGTATTTCCATTGTAATGGGAAGTTAGTTGTCCTCAGAATACAGTTGTATATAGTCGTAAGGAACACTAGAGCTTTCTTAGACATTTGCTGGATACCCTCGGCAGTTATTAAGTCATAACCTGGAGCTTTTCTTTTTGGGAGATATCTGATTTGTTGTGCGACTTGTGAAGGAGTGAAAGGAAGAGGGGGAGGTGTCATCTGTAATGGTATGTCTAGAGTATCAAATACTAAGGTTTCATGTTCTGTGTTCGTGAAGTCGGTAAATGGTGTAAATACTGATGAAAGATGGTCTGCAAATAGTTCAGATTTTTCTCTATCCGACAAAGCCCATGAACCGTCTTCGTTTCGCAGGGGTACTGACACCTCTCGATGTTTTAACAAATTTTTGGTATGCTTCCACAAACTTCCATCGTCAGTTGATATGCTGCTCAAATAAGCATCATAATTCGTTCTGTTGAATTTTTGTATTAGTCGTTTAAGTTCGTTATTTAGTCTGTTAAATGTCCGTCTATCTGAGGGAAGTCTGTTAGTCTGCCATACCTTACGTGCTCTCCTCTTTGCCGTGATCAAGTCCCTTATATATTGAGGATATCTTGGCAAGTGTTCTGCTCTTGATGACCTTGGTAGAGATGAAGACCAAGCTGCTTTTTGGACACTTTTTGTAAATTTGTCCACTGCCTCTTCTAGTTCATCTGCTGTTTTAATGGAGCCAGGGATTGAAAGTTCTGAATCCAGAATTTCCCTGTAAGCATCCCAATCCATTTTACCATTAAGGAGCTTAGGTGTTCGTGGAAGATTGATGGGCTCATCAAGGATAACCAAATGTATAAGGGAATGGTCAGAGCAAAGATCAGAGCTCGTATTTATGGTGTAAGGTATGGTGCGCAGTCCTTTGGTTATAAAAAAGTCTAGTAGGTCTGGGGATTTACGTTGTGAAGTCGGCCAATATGTCGGTTTATCAGGTGATATAGTGTCTAATGAAAGCTCGTGGATAGCAGCCCTCAGATTTCTTCCTCTTGGTGTGCACAGCCGTGACCTCCAAAATTGGTGCTTTGCGTTAAAGTCACCGCCTACTATAAAGCAACGCCCAAGGCTTCGAAAATAGTTGCAAAACATCGAAGGTGTTAATACGTACCTCGGAGGACAATATACTGAAGCTATTGTTATTGTGTGATGTTTGGTGTGTAGTGTTAAGCCTGTGGTTTGAATGTCAGGTGTAGTAGGTAAGTATAAGGGATTATGTGATAATGATGTCTTTGTTAGTATTGCCGTACCACCATGAGCTGTGTTGTCCGGATGGTCTGTTCTGTAGGTATTGTAACCAGAAATATGAAATTTAGTTCGTGGTGTAAAGTGTGTTTCTGTTATCATTGCGATGTCAATTCGTTTTTCGTGTAAATATAAGTCCAATTCTGTCCTATGTTGCGTTAGTCCGTTTGCATTCCACAGAAGGATGGACAGGGAGCCTACAGTTAGCTGATTAATGGCCATTAGGAAGACACATGCCTTGTGTTATCTGTGAGAGCTGTTGGAGGAGACTAAAAAGGGGCTGAATGAGAGTGTTCAGACCATTCAATAACTGAAATAGTTGTGGAGACATGCAGTTTTCAGCTGAAGGTAGCTGGGTACTTTTTCCCCTCATGGTTGCTGAAGGTTGAATGTTTGGAGGTATTGATGATGGAGGCAGTTCCTGAGCTTGCGGTTGCGTTTGCTTCTGTATTGGCTTCTGCTGTTGCACTGGAGGTTGCTGTTGGGTGTGTTGATGAGGCTTCTGCTTCCGCTTCTGCTCTTGATATGGGCTTTGCGAAGGTTGTGGAAGATCCGGGAAATTGCGAAGATTTGCAGATGGAGGTGATTCCCTCTGGTGAGCATGATTCCTCTTGGTCCTCTGTGCCCTTAGATCTCTAAGAGTTTGACACCCCCGATAATTGGCCGGATGTTCGCCTAGACAATTAGCGCATTTAGCTGGAGTTTCTCTAGTTTTGCTACAAGTGGAACTGTCATGTCTTAGTCCACATCTGACGCACCGTGGTGTATGGTTGCAATACGATCGTGTGTGACCGTATTGTTGGCATCTGATGCATTGCGGTATATGTTTCTTCCTTCTAAGTTCTTCAATTGTAACCTTTGTATAAAATAATTTAGTAATATCGAATATTTTCTCATTGAAAGTTTCCTTACTTACATCTACAAAAAACATAGGTAGTGGCCGTTTAAAACGTGAGATGGCGTTGGTAATACCTACGATTTTGTATCCGTATATTTCAAGATCTTTTTTAATCTCTTCAATTGGTGTATTGTGATGAAGGTCTTTAATCACCACGCGAGGATTTCTATCCTCAGGAAGCTGATAAGTATGAAATTCGGCTCCGCTGTTTTTCAAGCAGTTAACTATTTGTCTGTAATTGTTTGGGGTCTGGGGGTAAATAGTTACTCCCTTAGAAGTTGTTTTTAGCAAAAAGGAATCTGGTCCTGAATTGGATTGTAAATACGACACAAGAGCCGCGTAGTTTTCGACACCGGTGATGTAGATTGGGGGTGGATTCTTAGTATTATTAGATGGTGGATTAGCAGAAGTTTGACATTGGTCATTAGTACTAGAAAGAACCTGGAAACTATTGCTAGTAGTTACCACTACTTCCTTTTTTTTTTGTTTCCTCGGATCCCTGTTTTCAGTAATGTTTCGTTTTCTTCCTGTTACCAGTTCCCATGCTCCTCTTTCGTTGCCTGTGCACGGAGGATTGTCGTAACAATCCATACGAGCCGCAGCTTGGGCTGCCTCGGCCTCTTTCGTAACAGCGGCTGATTCCGCCTCACTCATATTTACTTCGAATCTAAGCTTCAATGTTTTAGTTCGCCTACTTATTTAGGTAAAAATAACTCTTAATCCCGCAGTTATTTCCAAAATTTTTATAGACGAAAACAATTTTCCAAATTCAAAACAATTAAAAATTTAATTTAATTAATTGAATATAAATAAATTATAAGCTAATGATAAATTATAAGCCTTAATACTTTAAAGTTTATTCAATTACAACGACGTTTTTCTTCAACTTCATTTTTTTATTTCTTTTTATTGTGGAATGGACCAGCGTTAGAGTAAATGCGCATTAATAATTAGAGTAAAAAATATACTATATACTAATTAATAGAGTAAATGCGATTTATTAATTAGAGCATGGAGTTTTATGTAACCTAGCTATCTTTAACAGACCCAGACCTACCTGGTTCACTAAGCCTTTCACTTCATTAAACCTAAACTTGATTGTGAACACTTTAGGTGTACGACGTTTTACATATGACATTGATAAATTATTTACTAATTATGATGTTATTCGCTTGGCCTGGTTTTCTCATTTCCCGGAATTAGGTTCCGCAGAGCACGTGTAGTCCCAATAAGGCAGATTAGAGCTCAAGAAAATGTCTTCTATAACGATAACTAAAAATAACTACAGCCATTTAATTTGTAGAATACTTGATGTCATTCATAGCGTTACAACGTCATGGAGAATGCAAACTGTAAATTGTAAATAAAGTCAATAGTTATGTCAACTGAAT